TATCTGTCCTCCTGTTTTTGTCCGTCCCCTCAATCATTAAAATCTCGTTAAAAAAAAAAAAATCCCAACCACCCAAGGGCAGACTGGGAGAAAATGCCTATAGCATTATGTCCGCCATTGTAAAATTAATTGTTATTTGTTTAAAAAGAATTAAAATAATGATAAATAATCTGTCACTTCCCAAAGTAAGCATATTGATACGAAAGCTCTAAATCTAAGGGAATTTTGAATTTCTACCATTGTTACAGTGTATAACATTCTTCTATTACAATTGTACTCAATAAATTGAAAGTTTTTTAAGAACAAAAATATAAGACAAGATTACCAATTAAATTTATTGGCTGTTTCCGTGGAATTCAATTATTTGAACTTGTACTTTCCACTTTATATTTTCTTGAAACATAATTGGGCCTACTTTCCAAGAAGCATCATTTGAGGAGTTTACTAATGAAGACATAGAGGGGTGTCAACACCCTTTTTCATCCCGTGGATGTCGTAAGAGCCGACTAAGGGAGCAAACTACCTAGGACAACAGCACTGCAAAGAGAAGGAAAACTTGACGCAAACCCTATACCAGCCGGCGTGGTATAGTAGGCCTAAACCTCCTTTTTAAGAAGAGGCATATATCCAGCTGTAGAATATTAAAAGCTGTGTATGATAATGACTATTAAAACAATAGTAAACACCGAGCACTATCCAAAACATATTCCAAACTTTCAAATTACATTTGCATATGTGAAAGGATTCTATAGATTTTAACAAACTTGATTCTTTTTCACTGAAATTCTGTTAAAAATATCTTACCCTATGGTATTTTTAGAAAGATACGTTATAGTCATGCTTCTACTAAAATATTTGTTCCGTAATCGTACATACACCTTTTTTTTTGTTGACGGGGTGGAAAATCCCTTCGGATCTCCGGTTCCTTGGGGATGTGGGAGCCAGGAGTATGTGGTGTTTCCACTAAAAACCACCCCGACTGCCGGACTCAGGCGCCCTGCTCCGAGGAGGACCCGGACCATGTTATTTCAGGTCCCCCCCAGATCGACACCGCGCCCAGTAAAACCCTATACCGTCGAAGCTGCGCTCTTCCCCCGCCTATCGGCCCAATCGTTATAAAATGTTGCAATCATTTTTGCGACCAGTCCGCCATCCTATCGCCCACCGCAGCAGTTAGTGCCACCAGAGGTCCCCTGCCTCTGGCCGCCTGCGGCCCCGTCAACGGCTGGTATCGCCGCCGACGTCCTCTACGCTCGGGATCGGCCCTCTCTCGATCCCGTTCAGCGGTCTCTTTCTGAAGCATTACAGCTTCACAGAAAGAGACCAGTGCGCCCCAGCCCTCCTTACCCGCCAGCATGGCAGCAATAATTGCTGGCGGGGACAGGAAACGTACATACACCTATTAATGCATTTTAGAGCAAAACATACGAGTACACTTACCTGTGGTATGATATTCCTTTATCTTTATTTAACTTTTTGTAGTAATTTACGCACTTTTGGAATACACAGGAAGGCATTTTATGAATTTTCTCGAATTAATTAATACGTGTGCTCGGTCGCAGTGGTTCTAATTAGGACCCTCTCGCTTCGTGCGTTGGTGACGTATCTTTTTTGTATATCACACCATTGATCTTACCCAATTTATTACTTTGTTTGCTTTGCTTTCATGACTTAACTACTCAAGATGCAAACTTGTTAAGAAAGTTAAAAGAAATATAAAAAAAACAGCACTTTTCTTCTAGATAAGCAGTACTGTACAGTACAGCTTACTTCTTATCTAGAAAAAAATTATTACTCTGGTTTACTATTTTATTATTATTATACTTTATTAATAAAAATAATATTCATTACTAGCTGGCCCTTTGTCTGCGTTTCTTAACTTGCATAAATTTTCCCCGTTTTTTCAATATTTTTCATTATTGCCCGGGCCCGTCGTCGCATGATGTTATATAGCCTTCTATCCAACACTAAAATATTTTTTCAATTCGAACCGGTAGTTCCTGAGATTAGCGAGTTTAACCAAAGAAACTCTACAGCTTTTTTATTATAGTGTAGATGACTAGGGAAACCGCGAACAAAAGGCTATCAGTTGCACAGTTTCATGAACAATTACTAGCTAATGAAATAAATATTATATATAATAATATATAAGAACTAATATCGAAAGAACGTAAAGTGCGCGATTTTCTTCGGAGACTGAGTATTTATATATTTTATTAAATTTATGTAGGTTTATGTATGTGTGTTTACATATTGTGTATGTCTCTGGACTTCAATTATGATAAATTTAATATTTTCTTTCCTTTTTCTTTTCTTTTTTAAAAAGACAACTCCCGCACTAGGAATAAATCCTGTGTCGCGGGGGAGTTCACAAACATACATGAAACGGACACAAAATACACCCAGACTCAGAACAACAATTTGTGGATCACCTAAAGTGTCGCCCCATGTGGGGTTTGACAACACTCGGCGCAGTAGGAAGCGGCGTGGCGACCGCTTAAGTCACTACGCTATCCGTGCACCTACCGCATCATATTTCTACATCCCCTGAAGGTTGATTGGGAGAGATTGCCTAATGGCATTAAGTCCGCCGTTGTGTTGTACAATAAGTTTTAAATATATAAATAAATATCAAGTCAGTATAATATATTCACTTGGCAGACTCAGTAATTATCGCAAGATCCTTCTATAGTCATTAATTACTGTAACTTGTTGTAACTGCCCTATTTACTTGATAGGAGATAATTACAACGCCGTATAGCTGGCTTGTTTTTATTTTTATGACCATTAAACTGCCCTGTTCAAGCTGATTTATTACGTTATAAGTATTTATTAAGTAAATACCTACTATATTACTAACTGTAATGGTACTATGGTAATCGGTATAGGTTGATGGTGTCTAGTGTGCCTTGAGTTACGAGTATTTAAATAAACATACATTTTTAAGGTTTTTTTAAATTTGTTGTATCGTGTAATTGTCCGTATTCACGAGCGAAGGTAGTCACTTCGCTCATGAACATGTCATAAGGTTTCTTTAAATAATTACAATAAACTAACTTTAATTTTATTAAAATGTCTGCCATAATAAGCATTTAATTATTCTTGACGTATCAATGTTTGAGTTGTATTCAAAATTCAAATGCTTCGAAATTGCGTAACAAGTATTTTGTAGACTTGCAAATTCAATTTTGAAACATTAATTCCGAATGCGTCCGGATACGTTCATCAGAAATAAATTTCTAACGAATATTGTTGGCAACACTGTCTGTCAGCATCCCACTTCAAACGTGGACACCGGATTAATTTTTTCATTCAACTCCCTTTGGAAGTTTGGACGTTAGCAAAACATTGCACAAGCTTAATGTTACGACATATTGACCGGGGTTTATGGAGTGAGGATTGACAGATGTATTCCGAAATTCGAGCAAACAAAATTGTTTATGCCGCGAATTATTTACGTTTTAATTTGGATTTTAGTTTGAGATAGATAGTTATTATAACATCTATATTATATTTAACTTTAAGGACACAATACATTAGACGATTTTAACAAAAAAAAAATACCAAGAACAATCGTTTATTTAAGTAAAAGTTAAATAACTTTTTCTGTAAAAAAATATTCAGAAAATATCAAAACATTTTGAACGCTTTTAATTTTTTTTAAAACATTGTAGACTAAATTTTGCATGATTTGCTCTACGATTTCAATTTTTTTTTTTAATTTTATTGCTTCTTAATTTTCCTTCACTCATCATTATAAATTTCACCATCGCACGGTTAAGAAGTTTGTCTTGTATTTAAAGTATATTTTTGCATGTTTGTCACGTTTAAAAATTTCGATTTATATTATCCCTTTTATTGATTATTTACCTAAATATAATTAACAATAAGGATGTAAGTATAAAGAAATTATGTAAAATTGTGTTTTTTGGTACTAAAGTTACATTTTTTAATCTTTTTTTTTTTAACATAAATTTTATAGTGTCATGAATTGAGAAAGTAGTGCAGAATCTATTTATTTAAATTTATACTTATAAAATAGGTAACTCCTTATTCTCATATAAGCTAAAAGTCACAAAACATTGATTCCATTACATTATACATATTTCATTCACCTAACATTGCCAACATTCCTAACATTTAGGTAAACAAATAGATCTCAAGTTGTCCTCGCTTGAACATAGTCCATGTAACACATTTACACAATACACATATACATTTCATTAGACATACTTAGCAGCATAATTAGGTGTATAAATTTTATGTAAATTCCTGTAAAAGTACAAGAGACTTATTAAATAAATATAAGTGTATTTATAAATCTAAACACAAATATTATGTACAAAGAGGAGACGATACCACTGATACGGATCCAGGTAAGTTTATATTTAGAACGTTGTAGTAGTCGTTGACTCCAAGAAACTTTAATTAATTTTAAACTTATAAATGTAGAATGTTTGTAATTGAGCCCTCGTGAGAATTTAGAGAATTAAAAAAAATAGAACGTATTTTAATTTGTTTCTGTTTTGTGTTATCTGTGCGTTACAGGTTTTATTTACATCAAGTTTTAACAGTTTTTGTTTTGTAATCCGATTTTTTGGATCTAAAAACTCGGATTACAAAACAAAAACTGTTAAAATGATCAAAATGATCCAGTTTTTTTTATTTAAAATTTGATATATTAAAATATAATACCAAAGTTTCATAAGAACTCTTTAATATTTTTCAATATTTGTCGATATTTTTGAAGATTTTCTAATTTTCCAACTACAGTAGGTAAGAAAAAAATCCAAACCGTCATGCACCATATTTTACAGACTGAAACAAATTACACAAAAAAGTCTAAGAAAAGTACGTAAGTGAGACTTATACATATACTGATCGCGGCATTTACCTACGCCTTAACGAACACTAACTCATGGCAAGCGCTTACCCTTATTGCCTTTTTGCTACAATCCATCGCGATTTATTTAACAAAAAAAACTTGGGAAGGTGAAAACATGTCAGCGGTAGGCGGATTCAGGAACAAATTCGCATGCATTGGAATTATGTAAGTCAGACACGACTTCATCCATGAGTTGTTGACCTCAGTATGCAGAAGTCCTGAGCTGGGTTTCGTAAATCTGCTAGTGTGCAAATGACCTTATTCTAGTGTCATACTTATACTCGTATATGCGTTACGACAAATGGAACCGGAGCATCAATGTTATTTTATGACAGCTGTCCTGAAGAATTGAGGTTTAGTACAGTGTTGTAATGCATATAAAGTGGTTTCAACTAAGTACTGCATTTTAAACGTCAAGATGACTAGCATAGACTGACTGATTATTGTGTTATTTTATAGAAAGTTAAATAAATGTTACTTATTCCTAGATTTTAGTTTTTTTTTTCAATAATTTAAAATATTGATTTTACATATATGATCTAAAATGTTGCTTTAGAATAAAATGTTAAATCTAATAAGTAATTAAAAAGCGTTGATAGTCACTTTTCATCAGGTGACCCGTGTCTTCTTTCACCACCTATATCATGAATTGGTTCTTTGCGCAGAATCTCTTGGCCATATTTGACCTTACAAAAAATATCTTATCCTTATCAATAACAAAAAAAAAGTCCAAAGAAATTCGTATTGAGTTTGGTTGAAACTTCATTTCATTTACTTGAGCAATTTATTAAAAAAAAAACCCAAGAAAAATACCCAAGATTAACTTACAAAAATTGATTTAAAAAAATGCTTTAATAATTCTTAAATAGGTTCTGTTTTTAAGCGAAATTCAGCCGTATCGTATTAGACCTAAAGCCGACCCTATCCTAGTTTGGGAAAAAGTCTCGAAAGAAAATATTCTTAACTAGCTTCTTTTAGAAAAAAGCTAATTGTATTCATTAAAGTTACTGTTAATATTAATTTATAATTTCATAGTAATAAATGTCTTTACCGAAAAATTTGATTTAACAGTTGTCGCAATTTGACCATGAGAACCGAACCTAACAAATTTTAGTCTTTTAATGTTTTTTCCTTCTTCATAGAATCTAGCATACCCATATAACTGGCTGATGACGATGATGATTAAAATCTCGATATTAGCAGTCCGGATTCATCTTCTGCGAGCCATTTTCCTCAAGTCGTCGGTCCATGGTGACGTAGGGGGTCCTACACTACGCTTGCTCAATTGCGGTCTCCACGGATGAATGGTCGCTGGAGCCGACATGTGCTCTAGCACAGGTCATGTCTCCAGGCGGCCTCCAGGTCGAAGTTGTGACAGCCGAGTTGGATAGTTTTCCAATATATACGTATTCTTGAACAACCCCAATCCTCGATCGGCCACGGGACCAGGGGATACATGTCTATTATACATGATCTTGTTCTTACTAAGAATCGTCCAGGCTGTAAAGCATTTCTTAAAAATCATGCGGAGATTCCGCAAGGATCACTATATCGTCTGCAAACTGCTGGTGTAAAATTGGTCATTGATATAGATTCATTTCGAATCAATATCACTCATCAGGCTAAGCTTGGTGTTTCTCTAGTTGACAAAATTCGAAATGAAACGATTCCCGTCCGTTTCAATCGAGCGCCTTGAAGACATCTTTTAATACATTGGTAAAGTAAAGTTTTGGAGAAATAACGCCCTTGTCTAACCCTGCGATGCATGGGTTGCCTTGAATTGGTCTTGTGCTCTGTTTTTGTACTTGGACGGTCATTGTTGAGGCTTCGTACAGATATCTCAGCACTTATATATATCTGGAATCAACCAGATATCTCTGCATAGATTCCAGGACAGCCCAGGTCTCGATGATATCGAAGGTGTTTTCGTAGTTCGAGGTAATCGAGCTAGGCCGAGAGGCGGATTGTATTCTTCTTTCTTCTCAATTATTTGCCTTAATGTGTGTATGTGGTCCACGGTGTTAAAGCCTTTTCAAATACATACCCCCCTGATATTTAGTTACTTGTAGGTGTAGCAGCCGTTAGACTGAAAATCGCGATTGGATTCTTTCGCAACTCTCGACAGACGCTGCCTCTCGGGTATGTGTATTCGGACTCGACTTTTCCAAAAATTGGTCCCCTACGACTTCCTAAGGTATCCGGCGATCATGGAATGCCCTCCGGCCCTCCGAGAATTGCCTCTTGGGCGGACATTACATCTATAAAATCGACTCCGACCGACTCCTGTCCAATCCAACACAGGTACTTGCCGAAAGCATTTCCAGAAAGCACCTGTGTTATACGACAGATGTGACTACATGCCTTCCCACCAGTTACCTATTAACGTAGGGCAGATTTTATCTGCGCTACAATGGCGGGTGAATATGCTTTCATTGAACCAAATTCTTATACTGAACTTTATTTTTTCCATGAATAAATTAATGAATAAACGTATAGATTGTTTATTCGAAAGGTACGAACAAAAAATTGCATGTAAGTAATCACAGTTTACGGTCGTACCACTAATATACATTTCATTTCAAATAGTATAATAAAACTGAGCGTATTTCATAATAGTTTCAATATTTAACGAGTAACGTGGTGTCGACAGAGCCTTCATCCTACAATGTAGCTCAAAAATCCATTAAGATAATAAAGAAAAGCCAGAGATAATAAGATTTCAAGACAGGTTTTAAAGGAAAATTACGTAAAAACATTCTTGAAAAAAAATAACATCAGGTTCTGTTATAAAGAATTTATAATGTCATTTATTAGACTTTCGCTTACGTTAAATACTGTTCAATGGAACTTATACTTAATTGACAGGGAGAAATCATTTTGATTAATTAATCAAAATACTCAAGAATAATATTATTTGATCTTGTTAGTCTTTTTTTTTATTTCCCAAAAACGTTGCCTCGTTTAGATCTAATCCAAAGTTCAGCAACATAAAGAGCCTTTCAGATTGTCATTCTTTTTCTACATATTTCATTTTATGTTAGGGGGGGGGGGGGGCAGACGAGCAGACGGGTCACCTGATGAAAAGTGACCATCGCCGCCCATGAAGGTCTGCAACTCAGGAGTCACAAACACGTTGCCGGCCTTTTAGGAAGGAGTACGCTCTTTTCTTGACGGTTTGAAGGTCGTATCGGTGCGGAAATACCGCAGACGATAACCCGCTCCACAGATTCGTTTTGCGGGGCAAAAAGTAGCACTACTGTGCGCTTTTCAAGATACTATAGTAATAAATTATGGTAGTGGCATTATAGTAATAAATCCCTTTACTGTAGACCAAATTAATACAGGCAGATGAAATTCGAAGTATAATGCAGCTAGTATAATTTTCAGAAACATGAGTTATTACTTCTTGTCGATAACGGAGCGTCACCACCCCTATTCAATCCCTAGGTGTCGTAAAAGCCAACTAAGATTGAAACATAATAAAAAAAATTGAACACAAAACAGAAACAAAAGACAAAGGAACTTTGATCCTATCAAAAATATTTTAATACTATTTATTTGGTTATGCCACAAAATCCGTTACGATAGTTCCATAGTGGGCAAAGTTATAATTGATGTGTCTAATGACGTGTGTAAATGTCTGTGTGGTGACGGATTAAGAATACAGAGTGTCATCAACCCTATTCATCTCGTGTGTAAGAGCCGAGTAAGGGAGCAAACTACGCAGGACAACAGCACTGCAAAGAGAAGGAAAACTTGATACAAGACCTTATACCAACCCGTATAGCCAGCGTGGTATAGTAGGCCAAAACCTCCTTTCTAAGGAGAGGCTTATGTCCTGCAGTGGACTGTTAAAGGCTGTTGATGATGATGATGATGATGTGTGTATTTAAACTTATCTCAATTGGCATTCTATATTTATTTTCAAATATATTAGAATAAAAAAAAGAGTCAATTGAAAAAAAATATAGTTACAGCCCCTGAAAGGTTTGAACAGAAGTTGATCAGCAGATCAAAGTAATTTGATTTTAAAATATAACGTTCAAAGTTATATCGACGACAAACATATAACACAAAAACAAAACACAACACACCTTGTCAAACTTTTAAATTTAGAAGGTTTTTTTTTTAAGTTAAAAAATACTGTTACCATAAAAATATGTTTTTTTCGGTAGGCAGAAGAAGGCACAAACCGAACATCAGAAGGCGAGGACAACGATGGTAGTGAGATCAATGCCGGCTCGTCCCGAGTACTGTCTGCAGCCACGTCCAGGGAAGAAGATGACGATTCCAGTAACAACGCCAGCAGCGAAAGCAAAAGCCCTGGACAGAGGTTTGTTGGCTTTCTTAGTACCTTTAGAATATTGTATTGATTATTTAAGACTATAAAAGTTGACTGCTATGAAAAATACTATAAATTAAATTATTATTAAATCACTTAGACTGCACGGATGGCGTAGTTGTTTAAGCGGTCGCCACGCCGCTCACTACTACGCTGAGTGTTGTGGGTCCGATCCCCACATGGAACGACACCAAATTATTGTTCTGAGTCTAGGTGTTCTTTGTGACTGTTTCATTTATGTTTGTAAAGTCCCTCGCGATACATGATATATTCCTAATGTCGGAGTTGTCTTTAAAAAAACAAATAATTAAAAAATGTATGTTGGATTACATTCCAACTCACTTTTAAATAACTTTTCAGTACATTTTATAAATACATAAAGTTTCTACTTAACGCACGTAATAGATATCTATATGATAAACTTTAAAAAACAATTAAAATGGCACACAGCTCAGAATAATAACTAAAAACATTTTTTTATATCTTATACTAAATTGTACAAATAGTAATAAACGCATTGGTACAATTAGTTTATCTTAAGAAAATGAAACTATCGTATCCTGTGTCACTAGAAGGACGCTGATGCTTAAAGCACTGGTTATCCTTTTTTAAACATTAGTCGATTAACAGACTGCACGGATGGAGTAGTGTTTTAAGCGGTCGCCACATCGCATTCTACTACGCCGAGTGTTGTGGGTTCGATGCCCACATGGGACGACACTTTGTGTGATCCACAAATTGTCGTCCTGAGTCTGGATGTTCTTTGTGTCCATTTCTTGTATGTAAAGTCCCCCGCGACACAAGATATATTCATAGTGCAGGAGTTGTATTTTTAAAACAAAACAATAATGTGAACTAATGTAACTCCTATAAATTTTAAGATAATAAACTTTATTATTATTATTAACTTATGAGACTTGTGAATAGACGTTTAAAAGTTTATTTTAGACATTTTTATAATATAATAAAGATAACTATTATCAACTCTTAATAGAAAATTCGACATGAATACGAGAAAATTCTACCTGGTAGTGTTATTTAAACTTGCCTAGAAGGAAAAACATAAAGTAATCAATACAATCATTTAAAACTACGTAATATAAGGTATGTTCGCTATAATACATATCTACACAAATTGGTGTATAAATACAATTATATTATAATCTCTATATATATATATACTTATATTCAACCTTAAATACATCTCGTAATAACAAAAAGCATTTATTAGAAATACAATACATAGAAATACTCTACAAAATAAGAATCAGTCAGTAAGTAATTAAGAACTTTAAATAAACTTTAATTAAATGTTATTCTGAGAGCCTAAATAAAAATAATATTCATCTAATTTAACTTATGCAACTTAGAACTTGGCTGCTTCCTTACCAAAGATTTGTTAATAAAACTTAGGTTCGATGGTATAACTTTAGAAAACATTTTTCCATGCAATAGACAACTATTTTTAACCTAATTACTTTGGAGATAATAATTGTATGATGTTTCATTAAAACGTAAACTAAATGACTTTTGGAAGAATAAAAAAATATTTATAAAAGAAACATAATATTTTCTCTAGAAATGTTGAAATATATAAATATTATTTCAAGTTAAATGTACTATTTTCGGCTACACAGAACGCTATATTTAGTTTTCTAGTAACATTTTTATTGTCAAATTAATTACGGTACATAATTAATAAACTTTGGTAATGAGAAAACAAGTACACAAATAATTGGAAATACAAAAATCACTGCGTAGAAATTTCACCGCTACGATTTAATCACAAACACCAGATTATGTAATTTACTTTGAACAATACGAGTATATTATACACACAGGTTAGCAGTTAATTCTATCAAAGCACTAATATCACTACTGTAACTGTCTGCTCGTCCTATGTATCATAAAAAATGTATATACACTATAATATTAACAAATTATGCACAATTTGCTTTTTAAATAGATACTTTGTATTATAAACAATGAGCTAAAAGTGCACATAAAGTTATTTTAAACTTCACAAATGTTTACTTTATTTGACTTACAACAAACAAAAGTTAGAAATTTTATACATTTTTACGATAAACTATTTTTAGATCAGAAAGTTTATGAAAAATTCAAAAGGAAGGGGGAAGAAGTAAAAATAATTTATAATGATACATTTAGTTAAACAGTTGCGGCCTTACCAATAAACTTTTATACAAGACGTATAACAGGATTTTAACAAAAACGTTACCAATAAAACAATATTTGACTTTTCGGTTGTATACATCTGGTGCACAGATGTTTGGAAACAATGAGATTTTAGACAATCGTTATTCAGCCCTCGGCTCTTGTTTAGCGAACGGGTAACTTATAATAATTAGTTGCTTACGTTATTTTTAGTTTGAAAACCATGGATTATTTACAATATTTCGATATTTTTGATGAAATTGACAATGAAGAACCACCAAGAAAAACAAAATGTTACAAAAATCGATATGATCATTTCTGTTTATCTGAAAATGAGTTTCGGTCAAAATATAGGTTCAGCAAACGATATGTCAGAAAAATTTGTGAATTAATTAGATGCGATATTGAACAGCAAGCTCGAGGTAGTGGACTGTCAATAGAACTTCAAGTTTGTACTGCTCTCAGAACATGGCTATTGATATGATAGAAGATATGAATTTTCCAGAACCTGATACAACTGAGGATACTGTGAGACAGAATGTGCCAAGAAATATACTTGACAGTGTTATTGGTCAAGAATCAAGGCGGATATATATATATTGAAACACATTTTTAATTATACTTTTTTATTTTTATAAATTGTTTGTACTTTTGAAATAAATTTTCTTTAAAGTTCATGAAATTATTTGTATTATCCATTTTTGTCGAATATATTAACCATGCTTAACTTAGTTTTGAGTGTGACCGAGATAAAACAAAAACCTCTGAACTAACGATGTGCAGAGATTGACTTTGACAACTTATATCAGTTGCATTCTAAAAATGTATGTAGGTATGGAACGAGCGAAACAACGATAATTTAATTTTTTTTTACTTGTAAATAGACCGTAAAAACAATATATTTGGAGATAACATGATGTATTGAATAACAAATACATTTTATATAGCCATAAGTATAAAGTTGTGAGCGTATTATCAAATGAAATAAAGTCATTGAATTAACGCCGTACGAGTTTCGGAACGCCCCTTTGAATGTTGCCAGTGGTTTTTGTTATACGTAGGCGATAACTATCCATTGTTTACACACTGATTATTAGTAAGGGCAATGTGTAACGCCTATTCACAGCCTATACATTGTACAACTAAACATTTGTCAAACAGATGTGTAACTTATTTTTATTAGTAAGGCTGTTAACGTTTTAAAAGATATACGTATACATATATTAGGTGGGCTTGGCAAAAAATTACGATCTAGAGCGAAACCTTCTTTCTTCAGATATGTTAAGCTGCTGTACACATTAAGATTATTATGTATATGGCAACTGAAATACAGGAATATTAATCTGTAGTTAGTGGTGTATGGAGACGAGAGGAATTTATATTTTTAACTCGTCCATTTCTTCATATGTTCCTACGACAAGCAAAATGTGCGAAGACATATTACATGGTTTCGTAAGATCTGAATTTTTGAAGAGCATGTAAATGTTTTAAGTCAAACTTTTTTGTGGACTAAACTATTACAATGTTATAGTTTAGGTAGGGCCCAGACGGCCTTCAACGGACGGGAACTTTTACTCGGTAAAGGACAGATACTTAATTATTTTATTTGTTGTTTGAGCGTCTAATATCCTATATATCTCAAATCAACCGGATTACTAAAAAATGCAAATATCAATAAAGATCTTTTTGGTTTGAAAGGATCAAATAATCCTGGGCTAGTGGGTCTAGTTGTTAATGACCCCGACCACTAAGCCGAAGGTCGTGGGGAGCCGGAGGGTGGTCTGTGTCTGGGTGTAATTTATCTATAATATGTATGTATTATCAGCAAATTGATTACCATAGGACAGGCTCTGCCTAGTTTGCATCAGACTGCCCTGTTTGTGAGACGTGTAAAGCTATTATTATTATTACTCTCTAAAATGTTTATTTCAACAACAGACATTCGGTAAAACTATAATATATCAAAGTATTAGTCGAAATGGCATTCGCGGAATGGATCAATAGAATTCATTTAAAAGTTTTATTCTAGGTCAAAGACGATATTAAAACACATTGATGCGTGTTCTGCAAACAGACTTTAAGCGTCTAACGACATTAAAGTTGTGGTTTCCTAAAGAGTTATATAAACTCATTCCTTGAAAATATGTTAATACCCCGCATAATACCCCATTCTGGTCTCATGTAATGTATATTTATTATTATAATGCCTTCTGAATGCATAATAATAAAATCGTTTTAATTCGACTGCACGGATGGCGTAGTGGTTTAAGCGGTCGCCACGCCGCTTCCTACTACGCCGAGTGTTGTGGGTTCAAACCCCACATGGGACGACACTTTGTGTGATCCACAAATTGTTTGGACCATACAGCTCAGTTGTTTAAGTTTGAGGTTAAAAAGACGTATCTATTAAGCCAGTGGCGTACTGAAAAACGCGATATATCGGAAGAAAATCTCATTAAATTTAAAAATTACTTGCAAAGCTTATCTTTCTCACAAGTATACGAAACCGATAATCCAGATGACGCTTACGATAATTTCTTAGAATTGTTTTTACTGCTGTATGATTTGTGTTTTCCTTTCAAGTTCGTTACAGTAAAAGGTAAAAAAAAATGTTAAATGGATATCAAAAGGTATACGATTATGTAGTAAAAAACAACGAAATTTGCTATGGAAATATCGCCTATCACCATCAACTGAGAATATAAAAAAATTCAGAACATATACAACAATTTTTAAAAAAGTAGTTAAATTAACACAAAAGGCCCAAAGTAATTACTACATATCAAACTCGAAAAATAAATCAAAAGCTTCGTGGC